TGTGTCGTCATTCATTTTGTATGAAGCTGCGGAGAACGTACGCGAGAGAGAGAGAGCAGCAGCAGCAGCAGCTCATTTCCAAATACGTCTTTATATCTAGATCTATGTCCCCGAAATGAAAAAAAGCACACACTACGCAATAAGTGAATATCGACACTTTTGGTCACATAAACAATGAATGAAGTCGAATTTATTCGATAGGTTTTTTTTTCGATTTTTTTTCTGTCATTCGCCGCAAAAAATACATATATATCGCGCACACACAAATATCGCTTTATTTGTCGTTCCAATTTTGATTGGTGGCAATTTAAACAAGAGCTAGTTTTCCGACTGCACGCACAACAAGGTTCAAAACAACTACAAAAAAAAACGAACAAACAGAAAACACTCCCACAAAACTTTAGCGATGTACGAAAAAAAAACAACAACGTTTAGCCCAAAACATCAACATCAACAGCAACAGCAACACCAAATCGTTATGCAATCAATCAATCCTCTCTCGATTTATTCCTTCTTTCACTTTTATTCATGAATTCGATTCCATTGTGATAATGGCATTGTGAATTGGCGCGAGTGCCGAATATTGGTGAATTGTTTCATAACTTCGGAAAATCAATAAAATTCGCTGGAAAACGTCCGTTTAATTCAATCGTTGGCTTTATTTTATGCGCGAAAAAATGACTGTAATTGACTGAGCCGCCCAAGAATGTATACACTGGGAGTTTTGGATTCACGCAATGTTCTGCAGCACGAACGTTCCGTCCGTTCCGTTACAATCGTGTGAAAATTGCAAGCGTTTTTCTCGGACTCATAATTTACTACTTTCAATTTATTGAATCGAAGTACTCGTGTGCGAAGTAGCTTCCGATCTCACGAAATTCGTGCGAAGATGATAATTTGTCGGTTATTTTTGGGTGTTGAGTGCGGTGAGCCCAAACACTCCGATTTTTGGCTCGACTGTTTCTTTTTGTTTCAACGGGAAATGGTAGCCAAAATACCAACACACACACACACATTCACATTACACATTGCACATGGCGCACATGAATCATCTTCACCCAATTTAATGTATCAAAAGAGAGCTCTTGTCGATTTTTGAAAGTAAACACGTCCATTAAAATGTACAGTACACGTTTAAGTGCATTCAATGCATTTCCTTGCGACTCTCGCCATTGCAATTCGATTTACTGTCATAATCTCAGGATTATTTAAGGGTGTGCTACGCGCATTTAAGCAATAAAATAAAATGTTGTTTCAACAAAAAACAAAAAACGCGAAGAAAAGTAAAACTCCTGCAGAGAATGTAATCTTTTTGTAGTATTGATGCTCGATTTTATGTTCAAGCCATGCAATGGACACACAATGCAGAAATTGTCGGATATTTCCCGATTTCACAATTCACATCATTAAGTTTAAAATTAGATTTCTCTTAAATCACTGCAAAATGCACACACTTATACATTTTTCTTTCCTTTTCAAATTGACGCTATAAAACTTTCATTGATTCTAAATGCAACGATCGAAACGAATTGAACGTTACAAAACGCCGGCTTAGAAAATGGCAGAGGAAAAAACTCAGTTTAATAGCCTTTTGGCAACTATATTTCCAGTGTGGATTGCTGAAGTTTGGTGGCTGTTGTATTTGTAGCAGTTTGCCGATCTTGCCAACTGCAATTAATCCCCGGTCCGTTATTTATAACATCTCGGCGAAGAAAACTCAAATGAGGGAAACCAGAGGAAACATTGCAGATTGAGTTACAATAAAATGTAGCAGTGCCATTAAATAGACACAAACAATAAAATGAAATCGAAACAAATCACAGAGACACAAATGACAGACGGAAAGACCGAAACGCGTCACAAAGATCTCTGCAATTTGTGTGTGGAATAATATGCAAAATACACACACACGGCAAAGAGTCAATAAAAAGCATAACTTTCTCCATGATGCTTTGTCGCGTGTGAGTGTCTCTCTCTATAGAAACGCAATCGATGTGTGCCGGTGTAATTTTGTTTGCTGCTGTTGCTTTTGTTGTGCGTCATTTAATTCTCTCAAATCTTCTGGCAAAAACTGTTAATTTTGTAGTACATTCAATGAATTACACACGACGACTCGGAGAAGTGACTTTTCACATCTTATTCTCATTGTTGTCTCACAATTCATTCAGCGCGCGCGCGCAAACACACTCACGTACTCTCGATAGCGAGAAAGAAAGATTTTATCATTCGACAACTTATTCGTCTATTTTTACGTAAGCCGCTCTTTTCTTCGGTGTTTGCTTCCATTTGGAATACCGATTAAAGCGACGAGTCCAAGTGCGGCGCAACGAATAAAAATGGTGATAAAAGAATTTTTTTTACTTTTGCCAGCGATTTATCTATCTGTCTGTCTAGGTATGTGCTTATAACCATTTTACTGAATAGATTAAATTAGTAAACAGCAATCTGCGAAAAAAACACACACACACAATCAACCGAGAGGCTGTCGTAGCACTCAAGCTGCTCAGAATGTGTTCAGTGAATGCCATAAACGATTCGACTCGTATAAAATACTGTATTGCACACATAAGTAACATAAGATTGTGTCAACAAACACACAAAAAAACTACCTCTTTTAAAAAATAACTCACTTAATCGTGCTCTTAATCCATACTTTTCACTTTTATGCGGGCACCTTTTTTTTTCTTCTATCGCTCGTCATTTCATGTCTTCCGTGTCAACTTCTCCATCTGTCGCTGTATGCGATCTCTAGTGTTCTCTTGCCACAAAATCGGCGCGACGATAAAATTTCAGCATAAAATATATGGCCGAAATTAGATCAACCGTAGAGAATGCACAACAGGAGGAATCGAGCTGACGAAAATTGAGCATTTCATTTCATTGTGCGCAAGAGATAAATGTGTGATGTCCATACGTCGACATTTGTAAAATGTTCCAATCCATTCGGGTCGTAAATGTTAATAGTGTCTGGTCGTTGTAAATTTTTCAAGTGGTTTTTCTTCGTGTTTCTCTCTCTCTCTCTCTCTCTCTCTCTCTCGCTGAACTCTTTATGTCGAAATCGTGGATATTCTTACCGACCCGCAACGTATACCAATATGCATAGAAGAAATATTCGTGTGTCAGTTGTTATTAATGCATGGCCACAGATAGATCATATAATTTTCCAAAAAAGAAAACTTTCACTCGAAAAGAATTCGAAAAAGAAAAAAAAATTACCGAATGCCGGCTTAAAATCTTTCATTTGGCATGAGCGTATAATGCCTGTTTCGCAAACAACCATAAGCATTTTTTTTTCATACTACGGGCATTCCGTTCATTTCCCTTTAATCACTGCAATAATAAATTTCTTAATCGTTTGTGTGCACGACGACGACAGCGGTGGATTCACTTTCTGGTTCATCTGTGCACCGCAAATCATAAACGATATTGCCATTTACGTTTCATACAAAAGAGAATTATGCAAAAAGAGTCGAACAAAAAAAAACTCGCCTGACTTTTGAGCATGGCATCAGAATTTATTGATGGAATTGGAAGCTCTATAGCGTGGCACAATCAAATTTAATGAGCCCATTTCCGAATGTCACTCCACGATTGGTGCGGCGTCATTTGTTCCGATCATCGCTTGCTCGCCAGATAAGATGCAAATTAACATGTTTGCACGAGGACCAACTGCCAATACATATACCGAACATACAACATAAATTATGACCGAAATTGGGAGCAATGGCCATAGACTTGCAAATTGTCGTCGATAATTTATATGTGCATGTCTGTTTTTTCACTTTCATTTCAGCCCAATGTACTCCATAGCATTTTATTCGTCATCGACAAAACGAAAAGCCACACCACGTCGCAATCTCAGCAGCGCATACACAGTCACACTCATGAACTCGTACCGTTCTCGATTTGATTGTTTTCACGCCATGCTTTTGTTGTTTGTTGCCTTCTTTATTTTATGCTTGTTTTTTTTCCTTCTTTCGTTTTCGTTTAATTAAATATCACTTTGTTATTTTCTGTGTGAGATTAATGCAGTCGATAAGAGACAGTGTCTTTTGTTGCTGTTGCCGCGTTTGTGTGTGCGCGCGTTTTCTTTCTTTCGTTCAATCATTTCAAGAAATTGACTTTTTCTTTCGCTGGTTTCTTCATTGGCGCTGATTTCAAACAGCGATTGGATTGGGATTTTCTATTCGGTTTCGCTCGCATATATGATAATTTCATCTTTTATTTCTAGAAATAGAAAGCGGAAAATAGCTATTTTATCAGGCAGAGAGATAAAATGCAATGATGTTCACTAAACCATGCGACCACTCACAGTTCCTCACCACCGTTTGCTGCAAAATTACAGGCATAGCTCATGCCATAGCATGCCGAACTGCCGTGAGTTTGATGAATTCTAACATCGAAAATGAATTTTAATCAATCTCACAGTTAGCTAAGCATATCAATCGAAGTTGCCCGTCTTTTTCATTTATTGCATTGCGCGCGCACACAAAAACCGAGCTATTGTGTAGAGTAAATCACAATGGGAAATAATTTGCTATTGTATACTGAAGGCGATAAGTGTTTTATTGCGGATAAACATTTATAACGCCAGATTGCGTGATTCGATACAATGTCTTTAACAAGCTGAATGCATTCGATTACTGCGGCGACTAGTTTCGGATATATTTAAAGATTTGAGTCAAAAGGTCACTGACCAATTGATTAGAACCGCCCGAGAGAGACCAAGCAGTTCCGATTTTTTTTATATCACATTTTATCACCATAAATGTGTTACCCCATCTTGGATTTTTATCGAATTGGTCATTTAATACCTCGTTTGGTTTTGCGTTGACGTGCGATAAACTGAATGCACACAAAACCACAACAAAGTCATGCGCTCAGGTGACTCATTCCGAGTCGTTTGCGTTTGCATTTTATTGGTTTTAAATTTCAAGCATTTTCCACGAAACCATTCGATGATGACTCGTTTTCTCATGTTGCCTATTCTTCATTTCTAGGTGAAGGCCAATCAACTTTTTCTTTCCGCTCTGACTTTTGCATATTCCGAGTTGATCTTCCAACGGATTTTGTAAGTATGTTTTAATTATTATTGCTCGATTTATTTTTTGTTTGCTCGTCATGTTTAGTTAATCCATGCAAGAGTTTTGCAATTTCAATAGCAAAGTGATGCCCTAAAATGTAAACAATTTGATGGTTGCTTCGAATTAAGCGATTCAATGACGACATTGAATCGTCAATTCATTTTCCAAGAAAATCGAGTTTCTTTTGTGTTACATCGCGATGTTTTTTCTGTCCAATGCTCGCTCTATTTCGACATATACTCGATGATGATACGATGGCAATAAAGGGCTTTTAGTTCAAAATATGCGTTCATTTCGAAATCCGTCTTCACTTACACTTTTTGTTGGCACTTTAAGTATCCACTGAATATGTGTCAATTTTCACCATAAAAAAAAACTGTGATTCGTCATGCTTTCCGAAGACAAACGGAAAGACATTGAATCAAACCCAAAACATTCACTTTTTTGAAGGCTCACTAAAGCGAATTCCTCAATGGTGATTTATGTCATGTTCAATTTCAAGAGAATATTCTGAAAGTGCCGTTTTCTTTTCTTTTGCACCGCATTTCGATACAGTCTGATTGCTTGTGCGAAACGGTATATCGAATTTTATATGAGTGATGCAAACATAAAAAAATCCGTGTTTTTCGGTCAACATTTTGCGTGCACATCAAAAACACGGAGACTGATTGACGCCACATTTTAAAGTGAAACCATTTGTGTCACGCTGTGATTTACTTGTCTGCACACATACTAGAATACTAGTATACAGAAAAAAAAGTGAGTGCACAATTGCCTCGCGCAACCGAATGGGTTGTTATTATTGAAGTGATGAAAATATTGAATTTTTCTTCGAATGGTAGCTGCCTCTAGAGGAAACAAAAAAGAGTTCAGGAAATTCCAAATGACAGCTTCAACATACAAATTACCGTTTTGCGATCAAGATTACGAGAAGAGAAAAAATTACTGTCTTCGATCATACACACACAATCACACCCCGCGGATGCGCATTATCCATATTAACTGACTCACCCATAAATTACGCACAGCTCAGTGAATGCGCTTTCAATTTTCAACTCCAATTTTTTTTTGCCGATTGAACATGCTGATTCTCATTTGCATAAATGAAAGTAATCTCGTAAAATGAAGTGACGGAATACAAGAATCTAGCAGGTGATAAGCGGACATTTCTGAATTTTGCTGGCTTTTGTGATTACAATGTTTGAAGCATTGTGTTTCAGCGCATTCCACTGAGATGACGGCTTTTCTCTTTTGAGCAATTTTGTAACAATCAATAAGAAGGTGTGAAGAAAATAGGTTCCAAATAGACGGTGCAGTTGCAAATGGAGAAAATAATTTGCGAACTACGAGAGAATTGAAATGGAAATGTGCCAAATGCCATTAGAGACTATACAAACACATCCTAGCTATGTGTCACTTACTATACTACCATTTTAGCGACTATTTTAAAGTGGAGATACTTGATGTGTGAAATGAATCTTCATTATTGATCCATTTAGAACCGTTTTATGGTGTAAATTTGAACGTTCGGTTATCTCTCACTGTCTACCAAAACGACGACTTTAGCTTCAAATCCAAACGTCGGTGCATTATGGAGCCACACGAGTGAGGCATACGGATAGAGGCGCACACGTAGTATAATTTCCCAACGTTAAAAATAGCTCGCGATAGAAGCGATCTCTAATGCGAGTTTGATGATGATGAATTTTATTTTTAGTTTGTCGCTCACAATTGACAAATCTCCAGAATGTAATGCGATCATGTTTCAATCCACACAGCAATAACATCTTGATATTTTCTCTGTTAACCTCGCTCTCTAACCGTGACTGATGTCAGATTTACCGAAGACTTTCTTCACCATTTGTTGTTTTCCGACAAGTCTAGATCGGTGTGTTTGACAATCGATTTAATTTGTCGCGTTTTTGAATGCAAAACAATGAAAACAAGACGATTGTAATTGATATCATTGAAAGATCATCTGAGGGCTTTTTTCTGAGTTTAACATTGAAACCCAAGTCATGAAAACCGTCCGTAATCCAATCGAAATGTGTACACAGTGAAAAAAAAATCTATTTATTTTCTTAGTTAGAAGCACATGCAAGACGACTTGACATGAATCCAATGAGCGATCGAATCTTGTGGCTTTGAAATACAGTTCATCGCCGATAAAACGACTTTATGCACACACGAAATTCACATTTGTTTGTGAGTGTGTCGCGTCGGTGCTGCATATCGTTCATTATCTAATTGATTTGTGTGTTATTTGGAAATAAAGAAGAAGAAGAGAAAAAAAAAGTCCCCCATTGCATCGGATTCACTTTCTCTATTGATGATTGTGCGGTGCCTGTTTCGAAATACAAATTAATTTGTTTATTTTGAAGATAGTATGTTTCCGACAAAGTACACATGCTTCGCTCTCCGCATGCGGACACAAATCCAGTGAAACGATTGCTAACAGCCAAATACTTTCATCGAATTGTGCTTCAACTAATCGGATGTTTGATTATTATTCTTTCGATCGGAGCAACGGAAAGTCGACGATTTAAAAATGCATTCGATTGCAATTGTGAAATCATCGTCGCCACGTCGTGCGCCTTGGCTCCAAGCCAACAAGTTCTGGCGCACATTTATTATCAACACAATCGTTTGATTAAAAAAAAAAACCACCAAACATCGCATCGATTTAATTTTCACGTTGATGGCTGTTTGTATTCGCAGCGGTTGTCAGTTTTGTCGAATTTGGTTCACATCGCAAACGATTGCATGGGAATAAGACAGAAATAAAAAACATCCGAAAACAGCTGCAACTTCCTATATCATTATCCAATTCAGTATTCATTGAACGAGAGCAAGATGTAAATTCAACGGGAGAAATGAAAATAAAATCAAGACAAGGAAAATACCATTAAATGTCGGTCTCATACATCACACATTATGAACGTTTAAAAAGGGATGCCCAGCCCATAAATTAAAATGATTGGTGTTGAACGTTTTATGTCATTACCGTCGATCAAAGTCAATGCGGCCATTTATGCAACAATTGACTTGAATGGCAATTTAATTTTGGCAAGTGGCCGCCTAATTTGGCGAAAGCAATCGAGAGAGAGAAAAAAACAAAAACAGCGCGGCGTTAATTATTTCATTTTAACCACAAAGACAACGGGCGGCCAAAACGAAAAAAAATAATAATAATTGAATCAAGCAGCAAGAGAAACAAGAAAATGAAAAATATAAAGCAAAAAACATCGATTGTTTGCGTAAGTGGATGAAAAACTGTTCATTGAAAAGTACTTTACAATGGCACAAAGTCATTGATTTGCTACTGGAAAGAAAGAAAAAAAACAGCAAAATATTTTTGCATTCGTTTTGCTACAGTCGATGTAATCAATTTGGCTGCACATTTGCGTGATACAGTTTTTTGTGTTCTCTAGTGTTGTTTTGTTTTTAGCGATTCAAGCGCAGCGCCAATCTAGTGGTTAAACGAAGATAAAATGCAAGAAACATAGATGAAAAAAACACACAAACCAACGAAAAAAATCGGTGTGTATGACATGCAATAGTCGTGCATTGCAAATTTAAGAGAATCGAGCAGTGTAACACCAGAGACTATTGAACTTACATATTGAACGTAATACGGTGCAGCCATTGCTCAGTGAACTATCTGCTCTTCATACACGATTTACAAGCAGCGCTACCACAACTATGCGGTTTGTTACTGCGTGGAATTCAATTAAAATTCCCACAAAACGGCCGCAATAGCAGCAGCAGCAACAACAACAGCATGCATTATTGAAATGCTTTACCATGTCTTTGATCTTCGTACAAAGAATATGTAAATGTGGCTGCCGGTGATTTGGAGTCCCAATGTCGAAGAAAACCAACAGAAATGATTTAATTATTCAAACGGGAAGAGTTTGAAAAAAAGTTTTGATGAACAAGAAGAGAGAGAAAAAAAAACACGCAAATCGCTTTCTTTCGCTTTGACCATCGTCGTGATCACGAAATAATGGGCTCAAAATTGATTCTTTTCTTGTTGTTGTTATTGTTGCTGCTCTTTTTCTTTCGAATTTAATGAGCCATTTGACCGGATGGAGAAAGAAATGTTTTTTTTTTTGCAAAGAAGGAAATGATTCGCTCTTTTATTGAAATCGCAAAATGATTCAATGTAATCATCAAATTGATCAATCACAGTTGTTATGTTTCATTCAAAACAATCATATCACATTGAAAATCAATTTCAAACCGGATCAATCCTTCGAATTTCATATTTGCACAAAAAAAAACACACGTCATACATTTGGTTAATTGCCAAATAAATCTTTCGAAAAGTCGGTTAAAGTCTGAAAATATCTAGCTCAACGAGATCTGTCGCGCTTAGGTGTGGAGGCCAATACAAAAACAAATAAACGCACACAACAAATCGTTAGCATTTTATTATTTTGCATCTCATAAAATGAGACAAACAGAGTATAAACAAACAGCAAAATAAATAAAAGGTAAAAAACAAATTTAAAACAATATGCAAAAATTGTAAACAAAAACAATAGAAACGAAAGAAGATGAAAAAAATGGAAAATTAGACTAAACGACTAAACGACCAAACTCGCATGTATTTAAATGAATTACGTTTACTGTGTGTAAACTGATTTAAAGCCGCGCAATTTTTTCTCTATCGTCTCTCTCCCTCACTCTCTTACTCTTTGTCTCTTTCGAACCGCATGTGAATTGGCTGTAGCTATTACTTAGCAGCGAACGCATAATTAAGTGAAATATTTGTATTTCATGTATTTGATATTCCCAGCACTTTTTCCATAAATTGTGTGTCTTTCCAAGCCCGATGGCTGCACGCTTCGCACATATATATGCAGAAATGATGTACAGTTGTAACGAGAGCATCCATCTCGGCATATCTGAATGATGTTTTGTTTTCTACGTGCATATTTAATTTCTTTCACTCAACCAACATTAGAATACTGAATGAATTATTTCGC